TCGCAATGTTCTTGTTTCATAAATGAAAAGAGGTAAATTTAGATTGTATATAAGAAAGAATTATTTTACAATAAGGGTAGTGAAACACTGGAAAAGATTGCCCAGAGAAGCTGTGGATACCCCATCCCTGGAGCTGTTCAAGGCCAGGCTGGGTGGGGCTTTGAGCAACCTGATGTAGTGGAAGATGTCCCTGCACATGGCTGGTGGGTCGGACTAGATGATCCCTGAAGGTCCCTTCTAACCCAAAACATTCTCAGGGTCTACGACTTCTGCATCGTATCCTGTTTCTTTCTTGGTCAGTGTCTGGCTGTTTCTTCCACAAGGCTCTGCTCATGAGCCCAAGTGCAAACCTGACAAAGCACAGCACCTGAGCTCATGTTTTTTTTGCCTGGATATCCTACCAACAAGCATGACCAGAAAGAAGATTGTTAGGCTTCCAGCATCCAAGGCTATGTGACAGACACTTTGCTGGCAGCAGAAGGAAAACCAGTTATTTAACCTTATTTTGAGACATACTCAGTTCTTTTCTTTCGATACTTCCAGAGTCATCAATGACCAGTACACCTAAAAGTAAGCAGATTAATTGATTCAGAGTGGTAGGAAGCCAATACCACTTTTTAGATTCCTAAAACAGTTTTTCAGAATTTCATGGAATCCTCTTGAAAAAAACATAATTACTCTGTTCAACTTGAAAACCACAAGAATACAGGTTGATGACAAGTGGCTTTGAAACAATTTTTCTACTCATATTCTCACTTGACACTAATATTTTAATGAAAAACATCATTGAAAAATCAGAAGCCAAGCGATTCCTCCCAGCTGTCACCAAGGGCTTTTTAAGATGCCCAGTTGTGGTGAAGGACAGCAGTCATCTTTTTAAGACGGATAAGTGAGGATCTGAGCAAGGCAATTCATTTCACATAACAGATTAACGCCTGGTGTCACATAGCAGCAGGTCTGGGGAGATGTTTGTCAGGGGAGGGTTTGAACTTAAGGCTTAGAGGTAAATGCTCCACATTCCAGATGCAGCTTCCTGAACCAGCCTTTCACTGGCTGCTCTCTGATTTTGAGGCTCTGAGACCTCTTTCCACTCCCAACACTTAGCATGTCCAGGTGCTGGCTGTGTTTTGGTTTTCAGCCTGTCTCTCCTTGGCTTTTGTAGGATTTGGTTTTGTGTAGCATAAACTCACCTTGAGCAAGGAATAAAAACCAGCCCTATCATTTAGACAAACAGGAGGTAATTTTCCCACTAAATGGTAGCAATAGTATTGTCCAAGGTGGGCTGGAATCCCTAAACCCTGAGGAAATTCATACCATGTTTGCCTTTGGAAAGCTTACTCCTATTTGTTTTGGTCTGGAGGTAGAAGTTGAAATTAACTCTCCCTGTGCTGGACAGTTTGCCTTGAACTTCTCCTGAATGTGAGGTAGCTTGAGTTGAAGGAGGATTACATAAGTTGAAAACTTCAGGTTAATTTCTGATTTTACACTTCCCTTCTTTTTTTAAATTTTTTTTTTCTGTGAGAGAATTTCCTCCTTGTCTGCTTTCTTAGAAAGTATTCCTGACTTCTTCAGTCAGAGTAGATGTTCATGGCAAATGTGTATTTTTTTAGTGTTATATCTGCTTCCAATGTCAAAAAGATCCATGGTAAAAAGTTAAAATGTTTTGTAGTAATTATTCTCGACTTTATTTGATCTTTAATTTTTCATTGCCTCAGCAGGTGCTGATGATCTTTGTACCATACAGAAATTTTTCAGGCCAAAATTGCTTCCCAGATCTTTAAGGGTAATTGTTGAGATGAATGACTCTATTAGCATTTTTGTTTGCATTTAATTTTTTTTTCAGATGTGATTTAATGATGAGATGCTGGTCCCAAGAACCTCTCAACAGACCTACTTTCTCTTGTATTCATGACAAACTGCAAGAGATAAAACAATCTCCACTGTCCTTCATCTGCTGCCTTGAGAACAGAGAGGCATCAGCTGGAGTCATCAATGAAGCTTTTGAAGGTGAGTCTGGGCCAGCACCCGCTCTTCTTGTGGCCTCTGCCCTGTGAGCAAAATGCTTTTCATTGCATTTGTCACTGCCTCAAAGTCTCTGGCTGTTACATGGAAATAGCAAAGATTTACCTCTATCGTACTGAACATGTAAAGGTTCCTTCTGTGCCTGCAAGGTACAATGAACCAGATGAAGGCTGTGTAATATTACCAAGCAAAAAGGCCCAGATGAGGTTCTAATTAAGCCTGACTCACAGAGATATCCAATTTGCATCTGAATTCACAACCTGTTCCTCTAAAATAGATGCCTAAGTTCCTTGCAGAGCCATGAGAGCCTTAGAAGGCCTCCATGTGGAAATCTGTCCCAGTTTCAAAGACTGTCTATGCCCTCTCCATGAGGTAAACATGGCCATTAGGCACTTCCTCTAGGAGCACTGGTTCAGAAGCCACCTGCAAGTGAGGCACCATTTAGGCACCCTAGTGAGGTAGCTTTTATCCAAGCCAAACCCTGGTCATTCAGGTCTTGCCTATGCTCTGCACACTGTGAACAAATAAACTAAGTGGTGTTAGGGAAGACACACTTAAGATATGGGACACAACAAAGCTCAATTATATAAGAACATTATTAAGTTTGTGAAGACAGGAATTAAGAAAAAAGGTAATGCTAAATTTGAAGTTGTCTGTGCAACTGGGATGTAAATAATCTAAATATGGAAATTAGCATCCTGGCTGGGCCTGAATAGTAATCTATTGACATCCTGCAGTAATTCTTAACTAACAAAACATTGAGGAAAAAGTGAACAATATTAGTAAAAAATGTGATCTGAATTCAACAAAAAGAAAGTTTTTATCGATTGAAATATTTCACTTTTATTTCACAGATTAATTTTTTCATTTAATCTGTTTGCATGCTATGGTTTTATAGTGAAAAATATTGAATGGTTAAAGAACTACTTTCCATTCTAGGAAAACCAAATCTGACTGTTTCTGAAATATCTAAAGGCTTCATTTTGGAGGTGATTTTTTGTAGTTTTCTTTTTTCCCTTCACAAATTGTTACTGAACTAGGAACTCGCCTGATTCACAAACAATTTTGATACTTCAGTACTTCACATTTTCCTAAAAACTTCCTGATCCATCCCAGAAATGATACAGTGCTCAATTACACAATTACATAGATATTTTTCTTCAGGATATGAAGAATTCATATGTTCAATTCACTGCCATTTTCCAATTGTCACTTAATTTGATATTTTGCTAATCTTTATAATTTGGTGAAGCTTTACAAATGTCAGTTCATTTCCACTGTAGCTCCTCTTTATGTCAAATCATGCCTGTTCATGGCATGTTTACATTACAAGACTAAAAAGTCTATAAAGACATGAAGGGACCAGTACAGATAATCTATCATATCATGCTTTTTTAACAGATGATATTGCACCCTTATGCTATAATGAAAAAAAAATTGCATATAGTGTAATTCTTTAGTTTCTTTAAGGGTATCTTAGCTCTCAATAACAACATTCAGGAAAGGGATACTTAGTCTGGCACAAATGTAAGCCTGGCATTAGCTCAGGAAAGGACTACAGCCAATTAATTAGGCACTATGCCCAAGCTAATAGGCCTTACATTTTGGATGGACTTTATCTCACCTTAATGCAGCTGTCTACAGGCTAGGAGCCTCATCTAGGATACTCTTCTAGGGAGATCTGAGTCAGAAGCAGAAAGTGACAGCTCCTGTTTTTTGGGGCATGTATCTCAGCAGGAAAGGGGTCACCTTTTGCCTGATTCTTCACTGATGAAGGCTGGCATCCAGGTGACTTGCCATATTTAATGTGGTTCATGTAGAGTCACAGGGTGGGTGAGACTGGAAGGGACCACTGGAAGTCACCCAGTCCAACATCCCTGCTCAAGCAGGGTCCCCCCAAACACATTGCTCAGGATAGTGTCCAAAATACAACATCTCAGCTATAGTATCTCAGACTAGATGTTTAATTTTCAGATGGCTACAGGAGAACAGCATCCACTGGACACAAGGCTTGCACCCACTCCTGAGCTAGTTTGGTTTCCTGGCTTAGACATCTCTCCTCTGTGTTCCCTACCTCCACAGGCAACAGAGACATGAAAACTAACAGAGTTAAGAAGTTCTTGTGGCATTACATCAATATCTGTCAAAATCTTTAGTAGGGCTGAAATTTCTGGAGAAACCTACTTTTCTTCTGCTTGGAACTGGGGAAAGGGTCTGGAGGATTTGTTACCATGTGTGTGGTGCAATAGACCTGGCACAAATGTAACATGAAAGAGTTTTAGTTTCAGTGCAAGCCTGCTTATCATGTATCAGATAAGCCTTATCTTTCTCCAGCTGTTAACTTGCTCAATTTAGGCAAATAATTACTTTCACTGGGATGACAAATAAATATTCTTAACGTAAGAAACATTATTTTGCCAAAGTGTCAGGTTCTGCCACACAGCAGAGGTCACAGAAAAAAAACTATTGTTTTGTTTATATGCCAGGACCAAAAGTTGCATTCTTAGAAATTACCAAGATGCAAAGGAAAACATGGATTGAGGCTTCCATGAAGTGTCAGTTTGAAGGATAAAAATTTGAAAAAAATCAGTTTAGTACAGAAAATATGGTAGTATAATGGACTTTAAAGGTGGTCTTAATAATAGCTCTGTGCTCCATAATGTAATTTTAGTCAGAGAATCTGTTGAGAGGAGTCGCTTTTAAAATCAGACTCCATTAAACCTGCTTATAGTAACTTAGTTGGTAAAATCTGGCCCACTGTGGTAAGCAGGGCAATTCAGTGTAGGCAGAGCTTTGGCCATCAGAACTTCTACTTGGCACACTCTCTTCCTGAGCCTTGGACCTTTCCCCACCAGCTGTCATGTTCCCTCTTCTGGTTTCCTCTCATTCTTCCCTTTCCATATGTTCTGCCCAGCTGCTGTTGCCTCAGACTCATTGCTGGATCTGCATTGGGAGGAGAAGACAAAGCAATTGTTTTCATGCTTCCATTCAATGTTTTCATGCTTCAGTTCTCAAAAGTCTGTCTTTACTTGTCCTCAGGTTCATTTGATGATTCTCTTATAGGAAATAGCCTTCAGGAAACAGGTTAGCTTGAATTTTATTCATCTGCATATCATCCTTCCATTGAAATGCATTTTAAAAGACTAAACACTTGACTAGCTCTTTACATGTATAATGCCATACTAATTTTCCTGTATATTTATAATTCACCTGTAGGTTATCTCCCTCTTTCCTCAAGCACAGTCTTAATAAGCCCATTAAAATGTAATGCTGTTTACTTGATTGAAGCTCTAGAGTCCTTGTGATGTCTTATTGTTGCTGAATTTTCTGACCAAGGACACATGCATGTCAATTTTCTGTAGCTCTCCAGCCTTGAATTAATTTGACAGCTTTTCTGCCTGCCATGTAAATCTCATGCAGTGGAATTCAGTAAGACGAGGGCTCCAGAAGTGAGATTGATTTAAGCAAGAAAAGGCCATTCAGGTTCTACTTGAGTTTCCAGACTAAAATGTGTGCTCCACTGTGACCCTGTCAAAAACAGTTTGGGGCATGGAATATGTCTCAGACTGTAATTTGTAACACATTGTATAATAAGTTAGTGATTTTTAAAATTTGTATTCATTTCTAGCTGGGACTAAGTGAAGTATTCTTTGTGTTCATAGTAGTAGTAGAAAGATGACAGCCAAAACAAATAATCCAAAAGTCTGTTCCATGATGGATTGTCCTCGACAATATTTTCCAAAGATGTTACACAGTCATTGGCCTTTGTGTGTAATGAAACTCTAGCCACGAGCCTCTAGCCAAGAAATGCTTGCTCTCACCAGGTGACCTAGTTTCAAAAGAAAGAGACAAATGTCAAGCAAAGTGAAATTACATGCCTCAAAATAGCTAAGATACTTAGCCTTACATCTTCCAAATTCTGTTGAGTCTTACCTAGCCACACTTCTAGCAGGTCCATGCATGCTGTTGGTGATTTTCATAGGTGGGAGAGCTGAAAAACATTAGATTTTCTCAGTCACCTTAATGCCAGTGCAGTGTGACACAGAGATGGCGAGTGTGGGTAAACCAATACAGACAGGCTGCTAGTGGACAGCATGCTAGCAGGAGAGCATGGGCATGGCAAAAGGGGCACATGCTGTGTTATTGCAAGAGTTACCCTTCTAAAGCAGGCATCAAGTGTCAATAAACACACCTGAGCAATACCAGCACCTCCTGGTGCTGCTGCACTGAAAGGGAGGGAAGTAAACTCAGGACCAAGGTCTACCGGTTTAGAGCTTTTCCTTCTTGCTCTGACAGGCTTCCCCAAGACATTGATTTTGGGCTTAAAGTAGCAGTAACAATATTTATTAGAGTGAGTGCAACATTATCCAGCTGGAGGACTGAGACACCAGTGGGTTTTGAATTCAATGGGAATTTCCCGAGCACAGGCACTGTCACCAGAGTTCCCATTCATTGCTGAAAGATAGCCTGTTCTTCCCCCAGTTCCAAGAAGTGCAGCATGCTAGAAGGACAGCCCTGCATTGCTGTAAAAATAACTGGACCATCTATTTTCAGACATCAGTTTTTACATTTGCACATATAAGAGAGCACTATAGCTTTTCAGGTCCCGTGAGTGCCCCTTTACAGATGGAAACACCTGTTTGATTTGGCAAACGCCTTTTCTGACATCAGACAACTGGGCATTAAGCAGCTGGAGAGACTTCTTGCCTTTATGACCTAGAAGGACTATTCTTATCAGGGCTACTCCTCACTATGGCTTTTGGACCTAAATGGAAAAGATAGAAAAATTCCTATATGGAATTGCTTAGAAAAAGAGGCTCCTCTGGCAAGAGGAGATGCCAGGCATTTGGAGAAAATCCAGGATAAAAGACTAAAGACTGAAAGGAAACTTATTTGGCCTCAAAACCATTTAAATTTAAATTCTAAACTGGAGATATTGCTTGAAAAATGTGGCAAGATACAAGAGTTAGAATTTAGTAATGTTTCTTTTTTTCACTTTTCTTTCCAAAGGCAGTGTATTTATTTCTTCAGCAGTTCAGGTACTTGCTAAAACTTCATCTGTAATTTTTTTTTAAATCTCAGTGCAAAAATTTTGCACTGAGAGACTTGATATTAAAGAACCAGTAATTTCATCATTAATTATATGTTTGCGTTCTCTACTGCTTGAGTACCTGTTTTCTGTTTCTCATGTAAGAGTCATCAGTATATTTCCTAAACCCAACTGCCTTTTAAAAACTATTCCACACACCTCTCTGAACGTAAAATAATCACTTGGGCAAATGGAAGCTTCTCTAAAGCAGATGTGTTGATAAGGAACAGTTTTAGAACCTTGTATCTAGTCTCCTTTGTATTTTTCTGAAATTCAGTAATCCTCTTCCCCACTTAGCTTAGTGAGCAGCTGACCCAAAGCCTGCAGAGGTCAGAGAAAAGCCTGCTTCCATAAAGCATGAGTGGTTACAGCACTGCAAGAAAAGGGGAACTTGGTGGTGTAAAAGTTTCTTATTTCCACTCCAGACAAATGGTGTTTGATTCCAGAGAGTGCACATGAACCATATGATGCTGCAAGTGAAATCGCACCAATACTTTTTTTCCTTTGATCGAAGGAAAAAATCAGATGGTGTAAGACTGTAAGACAGATGTGTAGACAGATGTGGATAAATATAGGCAACTAAAACATAAAAACTGCCTTTACACTGGGTGTCTAGGCTGTCACCAGAGATTTGTAGACATATTCAGGGGATGTTAATGTGTAAAGACAAGGAAGTGGATTAAGCATCTCCACAAAGCGATTCATTCCTCCTTTCTCTGTTGGCTGTAAAGACAGCCTAGGCAAGGAGCTTCAATGGGACATGTAAGACCTGGGTGGTTAAAACTTGGTAAAATGAATCTTGTCTTGTAACATGGAGAAAGGGAGTGCTTTCCTATTTGTATAGTCTTACTGCATTGCAGCAAATATAGAAGTGGGGTTTTTTTATGCATTTATATTATAAATTTAATAAACTAGGTAAGAAGCAGGTTTATATCTGTAATTACTAGGACACAAAGATTTCAGTACACAGTCCTCTAAAAAATACATTAAAATAAAAAGAGAGGCACTGCTTCAAGCAGATTAGTGCAGGGGAGATGTAGGGTGAACAAAATTCTCACTTTTAGCACCTTTAGTGTCTGACAGAATAGCAAAGCTCAGTGAGTCACCCTCAAACCATGCAAGATCATATGCTTCATTAGGCAGGAAACACAGATATATCTCCACTGATACATAATACAGAGTGGAGTATTAAAACAGATATATATTTGTTCTATTTATATTCTTACTGGCTATGTGAAGAAACTGAAACACAGCTCCTCCAGCTCCAGGTGGCCATCAGGTATCAGGAAAATACTCTCTACATAGGAGCTGTCTCTTTGAGCTAACCAACGTGGCTGAAGTAAAGAAGTCAAGGTTCAATAGCCACCATTTTCACCCTTAGCAAAGATATGTCATCAGGTGTTTCTCTCCAATGTGTTTGCTGTGGGGTGTATCTTTCATCCATGCCAGTAAGTCAGCCAGACTCTTGTTTACTGCCACATACATTGTGCAGCAGTGACAAAGGACAGAAAAAGAGGAGGGTGTTACTGAGAAACAGGAAATGTGGCTGGACTGCTAAATACCTTACCATACTGAAGGTGCTAAGCATCATATGGGATTATGTCACCCGGAATTAGTAACATCTCAGGCTGGCTACTTAGCTGGTGTAAATTGGTGGCACCCCACACGTTTCAATGGAACTTCATTAATTTATGCTAGCTGAGGGTCTGGCCCTGAAATAGCTGTAATGTAAGATCAGCATCTCTAGATCAGTTTATTCAGTCTCAACCAATCAGTTTTTCTACTGACATTCTTTCTCTTCTTAAATGTTGTCACCTTCTTGAATTTAAACACCAAAACCCCCTTGTCTGCTTATCAAGACGCTACAAAAATTTGCACCCTTCCAGGCAGGACTTCGAAACATGTTGTGAGCCCCCAGAGTTTACCAAGCAGGCAAGGACAGGCACTGTGTGACCGTGAGACAGGACGCACGGCCTGGCTCGGCTCTGCGGCTGCCCTGCGACAGGAAGCAGCCAGCTGAGGCGCTGGGATGGGGAAGGGAAAAGCACAGATTTTATCAGGTCAGGGCTGGTCTTCTCAGAGGAGGCTAAGCAAGCAAACTCTACTCCTCTATAGTATGAGTCAGAGATCATTGCTTCTTGTGTCAGTTAATGTGGGGCTCTCTGGAGTAAACTTCTGCCTATCCCCGGAGAGAGGGGTTGTAATTCATTTACCTGCAGTTTGGCCCACATGCGCTTAATGCACAAGTTCTGAGCACAGCCTTTAAGCTTTAAGCACAGCTCTACTAGGAAAAACGTCCAGCAAGGTCAAAGCTGCATGCATTTAGGACCTGAGACGTGTCTGTGCAAGTACAATTCTGAGCTTTGAACTTGCCATTTTAGCTGTAGGAAGCAGCCTGGGACAGCACAGAGCTCAGCGGGATCCTGCTTCTCAGTGGGGTACTCCTCAGCCCGTACAAAGCTCTGGACTGACAGGGCAAGCCTGCCTCGTGCCCTGAGGTAGGTTGTTTAAAGCAAACCTAGGTAACTCTACACTATGCAGCAGCTCACAGTGTAGACAACCCCTCAGAATTCAAGCCTGTGTAGCTGAGTGTCCGGCATGACTTCAGATTTTATGAAGGTGCTCCTTGGACGTCTCCTCTTGGGGTGTTTTGTTGACTCAGGCCAGCTTTGCTTGTGAAATCTGAGGGGATCACATCACATGGTTTATCCTGCATTTACTCACGTATAACCCAGCATGACTGTACATCAATCAACTAATTTTAGCGATGTTAAAACTGAAAAGAAAATAGTGATATCTTATAAATATACCAACCTGCCTCTCCACTCCGGTTTCTCTCTATCTTCCTTCAATTTCTTAACATTTTTTGGGAGGGCCTTCCAAAGATTATTCAGAATTCTCTGAATTGACTTACACCTTCCCAGGGTGCTGGTAGGGCTTCTAGTCCTCACATTTCCGGGGGAATTTCACAATATATCATGAATTTTTTCTTCAATCGCTCATTTTTAGTATTTTGTGTCTCCATCCATTTTTCTGCTCCAACTAAATGAACAAAAATAATTTGCTTGCTTTGCTAACTACCTAACAGTCAAGCATTGTACTCTATAACTTAAGATCTTTGTGTAGCTTTGCCTTGTAGAGCAGAATGGTGCTAAACTTTCATCAGCACTGAACACTGCACTAAGAGATGACTCAACAGTGAAGGAAAGGGCACTTACAGTCAAAAATGTCACAGTCAAAGTGGCAATGTGTCTTACACATGTCATGTCATAGGAGAAAGGTCATCAATATTATATTCTTCCTCCATCATTGGATATGATAAGAATATTCTGCAAAAATAATATTTCTTCCTTATTCCCACAGCTCAAAAAGTAAAACCAAGGCAAGGTGTTTGAGTTTTTAGCTCTTTTTTTCTTAATGAGAAACACAGTGGCGCATAAGCTGAAAAAGGATTATAAAATTTTATATATTCTCTAGTTCTTCGGATCTGTTGGGGAAAGAATTAGTAATGTATCTATATATCTGGTAAAAATATCTCAGTGACCTCATACTCACATTTGTGTAAACATCACCTCATCAGTTCCAGATACTTATACAGGAAACAAATCTGAATGCTCCTCTAGTGTTCTATACTTAGGCAGGTCAGCCGGCATATGTCTGGTCTGTAAATACCCAGTTTTACTTGGGTCCTTATTTTAAGGTTTCCCTCTTAAGAGTTTGCTGCAAACGTCCCCTCAGCATTTGCCTGTGTGCCTTTTCCAAAGCAAATTGTCCCTGAAGGTTGCCATTAAGTTAAACAAAAAAGACAACTACAGAGAAGAGCTGAACTGGTTGGTAAAGGCTTAGCTGGAGCTGAATTACTAAATATGGCCATAATAGCCCTGAACTGACAAAGTGAGTAT